GTTGGTAACTCTGAAGAGTGAATTATATGGCTGCGGCTTATTCCTTCTGATCTGGGAGTCTGTAGAGTAATCTTTGCGTTAGAGTTAGTGTTAAAAGAGTGTTTTGTTTCTACACAATTTGGCTAATTTAAGTTTACAGCCTTTATCTGCGCAATGTTTGGAAGATCTGAGGATGCTGAATGTCATATTCAGGAAAAAACACAATATCTCTTTTTATAAACATGACCGCATGTGAAGCTATGTGCGCTATGTTTTCTTCCGTGCAAAAGATGTATAAAAGCTATGTGCTGAAAAGAGGAGTTTAATTTCTCTGCCACTGCACTTCCCCGCAACCCAGAGGTGCACTTATCCCTGAAAAAACCTTCATGCAATTTTATCATCAAACACGCACCTGTGAAAGCCAAGTGCGAATGCGGGCTGAAAGGAAAACCGTTTTTCATGTACATGTACAAACAAATACAAATCTAAAGCAAAGCGAAGGAAATGGCAGACTTAAGGAATTCACAACATGTTGTCAAAATTGACTGATACATAATGGAAATGTAGTTCGTGTTGTGCTTAGGGAAGTGTGGAAAGAGCCAGAAACAATCAACCGGAGCCCACCGGGTCTCATTCTCCATCAGTGCCTATACTGTATCTGTCGACAACACATCTGCCATCTCTTCTCTCGCCTCTGACACCTTGGCACTGATCCAAAATGCTGCCATTATGTTAAAATTTCTCAGCAATTTCCCCATCTTTTACATCTCTTTCACTGTAAAACCCCAAAAATCTACATAGCCAAGTCATATGCTGATGCATACGACCAAAACCTGTGTCTGCACAATATCAAAGATGACCTTGTCATCTTCAGGTAAGATGATCTGAGGAAGAAAGAACCTGTATAAACTAAGCAGAGTCAAAATAACATGTTGAGCAAGCGAAAATATAAAAAAAAAAAAATTCAACCTTTGTTTTGGCCGCGGAAGCATGGTAGCGGGCTTTGTTTTGAACGCACTTCATTCCATGAAACGCTTATTCTTTCTTCTCATTTATTCAGGTAAATAATTGACCAACAAAAAACATATTAAAATTAAGATACAATGACGTTTATACTTTTCTTAATTAGCAAATTGAACTAAACAAACCACAAACAAATAATATTTAAACATAAATAATAGAAAATAAAAATACTTTCTTAAATGGCTACAACAATATATATATATATATATATATATACACACACACACACACACACACACACACACACTGAATATGCATATAAGCCAAGTCAGAAAGTCAGCTTTATTTCTGAAGCGCTTTATACAATATAGTTTGTTTCACAGCAGCTTCACAAGAGTGTTAAATTCAAATTCTGCTGTAAAGCAGCTCTAACAAGTCAACAGTGTCATTATAGAGCTCAAGTCAGTTCAGTGTTGATTCAGTTCAGCTGCATAACTGTGTAAATGCATCAGTTGTACATGCATACTGTATATAGAGTGTATCTGTGAATATGCATGTGCGTGTGAGTGCTGTGTTAAACTCCTCCACTGCACTCTGAACAAGCAGAGCACACACGAGAGAGGAGAGCTTTACATTCTTCACATCTGTGTGTAGTTTGGTGTGTGTATGTGGCTAATTACTTTATGTTTGTGTGTAGAGTTACTAGGCAAAAATACCATTATTAGAAGAGTTAAAATAGTTTGCCCCTCGCTAAGCCTGTCAGCGGCTCCCTGTCTGTTCTGGGTTATAACATCGCCTGTGATTGAAGGAGAGAGACGGGGAAGGCTCATTTTGCCATTTCAAAGCTGGAATCGATATTTACAGTATATCGACAGCTATAACTCGAATACCAGGAAATTAAAAGCTGATAAAATGGCTAAAGAGTCACTTAATCTGAATACTCCTACTATTTCAGTTTCACTAAGCAGGATGGAGGGGAAAAGTATAATTAAAGAAGCTTGCAATTGGAAATGGCAAGGGAGTTGGAATGACTGTAAAACAGGAAGACATTTTTATAATATACAAAACAGGGTAAGTCAAAGCAAAATGATACTGAACTTAAGTAGAGAAGATCAGGTCATTTTAACAAGACTAAGGATGGGTCATACAAAACTTAATTCTACACTTCATATAATAGGAAAACACAGTACTGGATTATGTGAAACATGCCAAGTAAAGGAAACAGTTGATTATGTGTTGTTACTCTGTCCTAGGTATGAACAGGAAAGGAATGAACTACAAAGAGAATTACAGAACTTAGGATGCAATGAATTTTCAATCTGCAACATATTAAACACAAAACAAGGATGTGGTAAAATAATAAAGACAATTTTAAAATTCATTAGGAATAGTGGACTTAAGAATAGCATATAGAATTCATAATATATACCTAGACTGAAATCACTTCACACTCCAGCACAGGAGGTGGCGGTATGATACACACTAACTTTGCGCACTGGTATTCTTCAAGCCTTCTTACGTCAAATGTGCAAAGTGTCAATCACTGTAAACGTCCTTGTGGTTGGCTAACATTTCCATCCATCAAAACTTTGCTGGCTAGGCATTGGCTGGCTTCAAACATCCAAAAACTGCGGTGCGCAGATTGGCACCTCGCTAAGCCTGTCAGCGACTCCCTCTCTGTTCTGGGTTATAACATCGCCTGTGATTGAAGGAGAGAGACTGGGAGGGCTCATTTTGCTCGGAAGAGACTATTCTATATGAAACAAATGCCATTTCAAAGCTGGAATCGATATTTCTTTGAAAATGGACGCTATCGACAACTATAACTCGAATCGCTCATGTAAACAAAGGAGGATCTTTCGTTTTTTTCCCCTATTTTTTCGTTGTTTTGGATTAAAAAGTGGGATGCATTTTGAAGAGTGGACCCTTACCTTGAAATGTGTGCTGGTGTTTCTTGGAATAGTCCGAGCTGACCAGAACTATAGGCGTTGAAACGTAAGTACTGCCGTTCACTTTGTACATGTTTAAATGGCCGGTCC